TCTTTCTGACTTTTCAGACTAGTGGGGGTGGGGATGTTTCCTACAAGTAGTGGGTGAATGGTGCGTGGAGCTCCATTTGGGCAAGCAGGAGGTAGACACGCCCGCTGCTCATACAAATGGAGCTGGGTGTGCACTTGCCTGCCATTCCAGTGGTGGGTTGCTACCGATTCTCCCCAATTCTTTCGAATGGGTAGTGGAAATTTTGAGTAGTTCAGAGAACCAGTAAATACATCTCTGCTTGGCCCCATCCCCCAATCTATTCGCTGCCTCCGGAGTCCCAGCTGATCAGCCAGAAGGAAAAAATCAGGGCTCACTTGATGGAGAGAGAGAGAGAGAGAGAGAGAGAGAGAGAGAAACAAGACAGTTTAGCTTTAAATTGAGAAGCCAAGAAGCCTCCCAACTGATCGGCTAGAACTGATCCGCTCCTTGTAAACTGCTCGGTGGTGGTAGATTGGCAATTGAGGCCAAGCTGCCTGAAAGCGTTTTCCGATGCTCTCGGTGGTGGCAGTGCGGCAAAAAACTGTTTAAACTCTTGCCGCGGCACTTCAAAGGGCTGCCCTACAGCTGATCAGTGGTAAAAGGCAGTGTGGTGGTAGACCAGTGCGCTCCAAAAACAAATAGGTAGACTGGAACACTCCAAAAACAAATGGGTAGACCGGTACAGCTCTGCAAGCAGTTAAAAGCCTGATAGACCAGTACTGCTGCTAAATCCTAAAGAATTGTTTGTCACATGACCATCAAACCACACCCACAAAATAAGCCACACCCACAGAACCGGTAGTAAAAAAAATTAGAAACCCCCCCCCCCCCTGCCATTCCCATAGCTCAGTTCCAAACAGACCACAGCCCAGTACTGGACCGCAGCCTGGGGTTTGGCGACCCCGAACAAGATTGCAATAAATGAGCAGAATTGATTGATGTTGTGATAAGGCAATTGAAGGCAACTTGGAGATATGGATTAAATATCCTGAATAGTGGCATCTATTTCTGAAGAATTATATTGTCATCATTGTAAACTGTAGAGAACATTGTTTCAGTTTTAGTGGGAATGGGATAATCTTTCAAATTTTTGGAAGAAAATTTTAAATGATATAAATAATAGAATATTAATTTGTCTACAAAGTTAGGTTTACTATGTATATATAATAGTTAAATAAAAGTAGCAAATTAAAACAAAAGTAGCAGCCAAATAAAGTAACACACTCAATAATAGAAATATCCAGATAATGTATCAAGGATAGAACGTATAGTAAGATTTAGTCTACAGTGCTGCTTGAAAATTTTTCTGATGAAATTCATTGTGGGTCATTGCAAAGTAACAAACCATTATTCTACAAGGAATGGTAGAAGAAATAAACATCCTTGAAACACTCTGTTTCAGAAACTGTGAGGTATACACCATCCTTTTATGAAAACTCAGTAAGTAACAATGCATTCCTTGATTATTCAAAGGCCGAACAGCTTCTGGGTATAATAGCCATTGTGACTTCTCTAGAAATAGCAGGCATTTTAATATATTTGTTGTTATTATTTAAGTGATGTCTGTGATAAGGTGCATGAAAATATGTAATAATAATAATAATAATAATAATAATAATAATAATAATAATAATAATAATAATAATAATATTAATAAATTTTATTTCTATACCGCCCTTCTCCCGAAGGACTCAGGGCGGTGTACAGCCAATTTAAAAATACAAGAAAAAACAATGATTAAAAATTAAAATAATTAAATAAATTTGGCCCGGTTTAAAACCCCGAAAATTTAAAATACCCCAATTTAAAATTATTATGTTGATAGCCCGGCCTGGCGGAACAAAAGGGTCTTCACTGCACAGCGAAACACCCGGAGGTCGGAGATCTTACGTATTTCCGGGGGCAGTTCATTCCACAGTTCATCCCACAGAGAAGGCCCTCTCCCTGGGTGTCACCAGCCGACATAACTTGGCTGATGGCATCTTGAGGAGACCCTTTCTGTGGGAGCGAACTGGCCGGTGGGAGGCTATTGGTGGCAGAAGTCGGTCTCGAAGGTACTGGGGTCCTATGCCATGGAATGCTTTAAAGGTGATGACCAACACCTTGAATCGCACCTGGAAGACCACTGGGAGCCAGTGCAGCTCACGCAGGAGGGGTGTCATGCGGGCACAATGAGTTGTGCCCATAACCACCCGCGCGGCCGCATTCTGGACCAGTTGGAGTCTCCGAGTGCTCTTCAAGGGGAGCCCCATGTAGAGAGCATTACAATAGTCCAGCTGGGAGGTGACAAGGGCGTGAGTGACCATGCGCAAGGCGTCCCGGTCCAGAAAGGGCTACAACTGGCGAATCAGGCGAACCTGATAAAAGGCCCCCCTGGCCACGGCCGTCATATGCTCTTCTAAAGACAGCCGTGCATCCAGAAGGACACCCAGATTGCGAGCCCTCTCTGTGGGGGGCAAAGATTCACCCCCAATAGTCAGCGATGGCACCTGCTGACTATATCGGGACGCTGGCAGCCACCGCCACTCGGTCTTGGACGGGTTGAGTCTGAACCTGTTCCTCCCCATCCAGACCCGCACGGCCTCCAGGCAGCGAGACATCACATCAAGGGCATCGTTGGGGTGGTCTGGGGTGGAGATGTACAGCTGAGTATCATCAGCGTACAGATGACACTTCACCCCAAAACCACAGATGATCTCACCCAGCGGCTTCACATAAATGTTGAACAGAAGGGGCGAGAGGACCAACCCTTGTGGCACTCCCCATGCGAGGTGCCTCATGGTCGACCTCTGCCCCCCCTGCCAACACAAACTGCGAGCGGTCGGAGAGGAAGGAGGAGAACCACCGCAGAATGGTGCCCCCTATTCCTAACCCTCTCAACCGCTGCAGCATGATACCATGGTCGATGGTATCAAAAGCCGCTGAGAGATCTAATAGGACTAGGACAGAGGAGCAACCCCTGTCCCGAACCCTCCAGAGATCATCCACCAACACGACCAATGCCGTTTCTGTGCTGTGCCCCTGCCTGAAGCCTGACTGGTACGGGTCTAGATAGATAGCTTCACCCAGGTGCCTGGGCAGTTGTCGTGCCACCACACTCTCAACAACCTTCGCCACAAAACGAAGGTTGGAGACCGGACAGTAGTTGGCTAATTCAGCCGGGTCCAGGGAAGGCTTCTTGAGGAGGGGCCTCACCACCACCTCTTTCAAGGTGACGGGAAAGGCACCCTCACTCAGAGAAGCAGTTATAATCCCCTGGAGCCAGCCTCGTGTAACCTCCCGGGAGGCCAGTACCAACCAGGAGGGACACGGGTCCAATAAAACATGTGGCGGCATTATAAAAATAATGTTAGCCTAAAACACAAAAGAAGAGATTAACATGCCAAACAATTGAGAATGTTTTTCAAATTAAGGGGTAAGGTACACAAAATTTAAAAAGGGGCAACATTAAATCAACATTAAATCTATCATAATTGAGAGAGATAATATGTTCAATGCAGATAATCTAGCAACTACCAAAAAGGTCTACTATGTTGTTATCAAGGTGATGAGATATATCACAGGGCTTCTGATGACAATTACAAATTACAGAACAGTTTCATATGGAAACTGTCATGGCTATAGTGAGCATTAATGTTGTTATAAATTTAAAATCAGTAAATATGAAATAGGATGTGAAGCCAGGAGAAGACATGAGTAAAGTTGACCCAAAGTTGATACAATGTGATCTATAAAACAATTTGCTGACAAATATTTTTTGCATTATATTTGCAGGACAATGGTCCATGCTAAATTCTTTATAATAAGCTAAATAAGCCAGGATGTGGTAATTCATGACCTGCCTTCTTAAAGACAGTGAAGCTGGACTTCTGGGGGATGAATGATGAATTAAAGTGCCAACAACAGCAGCAAAGAACTGATGAGTAGACCAATTCCTGGAAACTTCTCTGGATAGGAATGAACAGTAGATTGTCCACGGGTGCTCTGGATTGCATTTCCTTTTGGAAAGACCACAATATAGTGCTTTTCTGTGGATTTGATGGCTGGGACATGAAGAGATTATTTTGTTTGTTTGTTTGTTTGTTTGTTTGTTTGTTTGTTTGTTTATTTATTTATTTATTTATTTATTTATTTGATTTATATGCCGCCCTTCTCCGGAGACTCAGGGCGGCTTACAATGCGTTAAACAATAGCCTTCATACTTTTGTATATTTATACAAAGTCAGCTTATTGCCCCCACAAACTGGGTCCTCAATTTACCTACCTTAGAAAGGATGGAAGGCTGAGTCAACCTTGAGCCTGGGGAGATTCGAACTTGCAGTAATTGCAGGCAGCTGAATGTTAATTATCCATCTTGCTTGGAACCATAGTGGGGCCTTTTAAAGGACACAAAGTTTGCAACCTCACTTCTTATCACCTTTGGAAATTGCAACAACTTCAAAGCTGTTAAAGACCTTTAGAATGACAAGTTTGAAAAGTCTTCATTGGGAGAATTTAACTTCAACTCTGAACAAAAGAAAAATTAATTGCAAGCTTAAGAACATATGGAATCTGAAATAAAGAGCAAAAAACTGATAAGATTTTGATCTTAGAAAGTTATAAATAAAGTTCTATATAAATCTTGAATCCTGAAACTTTTCCAAGATTTTGAAATTATTTATGAAGAACAAACAGCTTCTCATGAGAAATAGATGTGTTTTGGTTTTTGGAAGACAGAGATATGTAATTTCATGATTTAAAAACTGGATACTAGATGCTAGTAAAGAAATGACAGATGTAGAACAAATTTTATCTGACTAGAGAAAAATACAAATTATAAACCAAGAGAGTGACTGAGACAATTTCTTTCTTATTCGATTAAAATAAGAGGCTTATTAAAACCTAGAAAAATTCTGTGTGATGGGACAAAAAAGAAATAATGAAAAAACAAATCTTGCAACAATAATAAAGGTGGGATACAAATAAATAGATAAAAATATTTGAATTGGCTAAAGATGAAGACTGTTAGAAATAAAAACAAGGAATATAAAGTTGGTTTATTTGATCAAATTTAAAATAAATTACCTCAGGCAACTCTTTATGGACTTAAAAGAGAATGTTTTATAGATTTGTCTATAGATAAGGGGTGGGATATAGGTCGAAGAGTTAATTGTTTGTAAACTACCATAAGAGGAAATGAAGAGTCACTAAATTTGTTTATTCTTGTGACAAAGGTTGGAAGTCATTTCTTTATATTTTTTATTTATTATAGAAATATTAATTTCTTCTTTTGTTTCCTTGCATCTTTTATTCTTTCTTTCTCTTTCTAATTTTTGTTCGTATTACATTTTACTATTATAACCAACATACTTACTAAAATTATACATCATAAAAATAGTGAAACTGGCAGAGCAAATAAAGCTCAGTGGATACATTTTTAACTATTGTTGGCACAGTGATTCAAAAGCAACACAGAGAATTGTGTTCCCGAAGAGATGGTCTATGGTTAACAAATTGGGTCTAGTTTAGGCTGAGTTCATATACTAGAAAGAATAAATGTGGAAATATGTATGCTGGGAGAATTCAGCCGAGTCTTAATTTTAGGTCTAAATCAGTGATTTGCTGGGCAATGATAAACCCTATGAAAGAGGAAAGAATGCTGAACAAATTGGTGTTCAAAGCAGGTAATATCCCTTTAACCAACCCACGCTTTCTGTTGCAAGTGCCAATTCATTATGGCAAAATAATTGCTTTGTAGTAAGCAGTGAAGAGTTGCTCATTAGAAAACATTGCACAGACATAATTTCTTTAGCTCAAGCTGCTATTGGACTGATAGTTAGAATCTGCTTTTAAGAAGCTTCTGTGAATGTGTTAACTATGGCTTTAGGCAACACATAGGCAGGCAGCTGTGCAGTTCACTGAGCACTAAAGCTATAAATGTTAGCTTAATGCACAGCTAATGATAATGACTACAGTAGTGCATCATAGTAATTTAATAGTACATTGAGTTTTTTATGGTGCTTGCTTCAAGGCTGGTGAAGAAAATCATATAAACTGCACCTTGAATAATCTAATTAAAATAAGTGCATTTTTACTCCCTGCAGATTCGTTACAACTGAAAAATGTATGTTCTTCTATCCCACAGTTACTGGATAGATAGTTTTTGTTATCATCAGTTTAACAGAATCTGCCATTCCATATAATAAACTGATCTTGCAGGGATAAAAGTGTATGCTGCATTAACATGCCTCAGTAATTTGCCTAATTTTCTAAACTTGAAATACAAAATCTTTTTATTATCACCTGAATTTTGAGATGACCTCTAAGGAAGGAGGTTAGGAAAGAAAATGTAAGTTCACTTTCACTTACTCATTACCTCAGGGTTAATCAGATACTTAGATGTTCATTTTCTTAAAAATGAATTTGGAAAATGCTTAGAATAAACTGATTTAAAATAATAATAATATGTTGCCTGGTTGTCATGTCACCACAATAGACCAACCCTCATTTTCTGGAGGACAGAAAGAGACAGCAACCATCCTGTTAATTTCATACTGAATATCGAAGTAACTCACGGTGCATTTTTCTGCTCCACTTTCCAAAACACAATTTTCCGTGTTATGTTGCCTAGAGCACTTCTGTTTCTTTGGGATAGCTTGCTTCAGTTTGTTAAGGATAACCTCAGAAATTCATTAGCTATTTTACAGAGGCAAGAACGCCCCTTCAATGGAGAAAGTGCTTACATGGTTCAGTGATCATGTAAACAAAAATTAAATCAGCTACCTCATCCAAATTCCTCACGATGACTAGAAATATTAACAAAAGGTATTTTGTCAAATCTAAATAATATAACTGAATTTGTAAAAAATGTGGTGAACTCAGACAAGTATAATTTGAATGTCTCCTGTCTAATTTGATGTCTCCTCTTATCTATATTTTCCTTATCTTTACTGCAGTGTTATTTATCCTCAGTGTAAACTTGAGAACTTACTCCCGATTTGCCTCTAATACAGGTAATCCTTGATTTACGACCATAACTGAGCCCAACATTTCTGTTGCTAAGTGAAAAATGTGTTAAGTGAATTTGGCCCCATTTTATAACCTTTGCCACAGTTGTTAAGTGAATTATTGCAGTTGCAGTTGTTAAGTTAGTAACACAGTTGTTAAGTGAATCTGGCTTCCCCATTGATTTGGCTTGTAAGAAGATTGCAAAAGGTGATCACATAACTCCTGGAATGCCGCAAGGGTCATAAGTATGAAAGACGGTCATAAGTCCCCTTTTTCAGTGCCATTTGTAAGTTTGAGCAGTCACTAAATGAACTGTTGTAAGTCAAGGACGACCTGTACAAAAGTGAATGCAAAATCCAGATCTTAGTTAGAAAAAGCTATATGAGTGTTCTGCGTTGTTTAGCAGAGACTAAGGCAAGATACTGACTTAGTTTCACCAAGATGACTATCAAGATTCCACCAATCAGTAGCACAGTTGGCCAGGCAAAAGCAATGAGAAGGCCTTCTGGAGGATACAATCTCTTGAAAAGGACGCTCTTTTCTTTCCTTGATGGGTCATAATGGCAAAGAAACCTCTGATGCTTTCTGAAATTGTCTCTTATCATTTCTACATGCTGCTGAACTTTTTTATAATTCTCCATATCAGGCGGTATATAAGAGCACTGCAGAAGAAAAGAAAGAAAACTCAGGATTACTGCTTTTCAAAATTATTGACCGAAAGTAAAACAGTAATTTGGGGGTACTTTTAATCAGTGCTGCCTTAATATTGTTTTTCTCTGCACTGTGACTGTTGTGAACTAGATTATGAATACTACATGTATCCTATTGTGACTTTTGTAGGGGAATCCATGAACTTTCCAAAGCTATCCTTCATTTACTTATTGTTAATCAGGGTTTTTCAGGGTCAGAGGAAGATCATAACTCAACCTATTCTTACAAGCAATTAAGGAATCAAAAGTCTTTTCCTCTGCTGTGATTAGAACTAAAGGAACTATTTGTTCTATAGGTATAGTATAGGATTGCAAGGAAAATATTGCTAGGAAAAAACTGGGATCATAGATTTCCTTCCTTCCTTCCTTTCTTCCTTTCTCCCTCCCTCCCTCCGGAATATTATTTATGTGAGCATAGATAGAAGGGAAATTGTTTATTTAGTTATCAAATCTGTACACCACCCATTTCATCTGCATAACTGTGGACAGCGTACAAATAGAACATTAGGAATGAACTGACACATTTGCTAATAAGCAAGATTTTAGATTAGAGGAAAATGGATTCATAAAATTTTGCTGAAGAAGGGGAAAATATTATAGGATTTTTTAAAAGTACTACAATTTTATACATTTTTGAAATTTGAGAATTATACTCAATGTTTTGGAATTAAATATTATCTTATTATCTGAATTTCATCTTAGAGTTATGAAGCATCTGATAGTGAGACTTTCTCGATTGTAAACAATGAAGAGATGGGTTTCAGCAGGTTCTGACCAGTTCTGGAGAACTGGTAGTGGAAATTTTGAGTAGTTTGGAGAACCGGCAGTAAAAATTCTGATTAGCCCCGCCCCCATCTATTCTCTGCCTCCCAAGTCCCAGCTGATCAGGAGAAAATGGGGATTTTTCAGTAACCTTCAGTAATCTTAACCTGGATTGAGGAGGGAATGGAGATTTTACAGTATCCTTCCCCTGCCACGCCCACCACGCCACACCACGCTCACCAAGCCACGCCCACAGAACAAGTAGTAAAAAAAAATGGGATTTCACCACTGGTGAAATGAAGAAAAAATTACAAATATTGCAGTTAAAGTGGACTAATATATACTTTAAACTATAAATTTCTTGGGGGATAAACATATATAGAATGATGCAGTTAAAATTTTTTAGCATGCTAAAAGGTTAGGTTAGCCATTGATATTGGAGACGATGTGAATTGTTGGTGAGATGAATTTGATGTTCTGCTAAGAGTAGTATCAATTGTCTAATTATATAAGAAGCCTTAAGAAATATTTTGAGAAAATTCAAAATATTTAGCATTAATAGGATTCTATGGTATCGGAGAAGGAAAGGACGAAAGTCTAGTGCTATGAACCATATGATGGTCCAGTGCCTTAGGTAGAATGCCTTGGAATGTCTACTATATTGTTGTAATATGAAATTTGAAATGTGCTTATTTTTATTTACAAAGTCAAAACATTGAAAATAAATGAAGCAGCATTTCTAGTTATACTTTAGAGATCCAATTTTACTTAAGATGAATTAGCTCATAGTAATATTTAATTTACAGAAAAAAAAAGTACTCTCTTAAAATTAGGACTATTTAATTGAAAAGGCTGGAAATCTGAGGTCCACCCCAGATTCTTGAAGGAACTAACTGAATATAGCTGTCAGCGTTTCAACGCTGGCATAGAGAGAGCAGAGGAGAGCGAAAGATAAACTCTGAAACTTTTGCCTATGCAATAGCGTGAGTATTCCTGATTTCTCTTTTTAATTGCTCTTGCCTGCTGGAGATTGAATGTGTAAGCACCATTTCAAGGCCTTAAAGTAAATGTTGAGCTACCCCTTAGGGAAATTTGCTTCATTGTTTTTATCTACAGGATTATAGATTGCTGTGTAAATGAAATGATTTTCTGCTAGGCTATGAATTATAGCAAAGTGATGGCTTCCATAAGAAATGAGCTTGAAAATGAAGGAATGTAAAACATGATTAGGTAGAAGAAACAGCATTTACATATTACAGCAAATATACACAGCTTATAGTATTTGATATAATTCTAAATTGCTCTTGCATAGTACAAGGATGAGCATGTTTAGTTTTATTCTGCTATAACCTCTGATGATCTGTATCGCTCAGAATTCCAGAAGAAAATGTGGATTTGGGAGGACAGAAATAATTCCTGCACATGTAACATTGCAGTAATGATACTGAATAATAATGACTTTTATTTATTGTACACTGCCCAGAGTCCCTCTTTGAGAGAGATGTGCCATTCAGAAATATAATATATGAAGAAGGTAACATTATTGGTTTAAATATAACATTCTTTGAAAGCTGCTATATGAAGTATGTCTAGGAGTTGAGGCAAAGCCAGTATAAATTTATTTATGTGGGGAACTTCCCTGAGGCAAAACAATGCTGCCTTCCATCAAACTATTACTTAAATACCTTTGAGCCCAAGTGATGCCTGACTTTTATGCAAGGAACAACTGCATAAATACCATCAAAATTGCCCATCGCTGACAGGATAGGAATTCAGGATTGTGGTTGAACAAAATTCATTACTATTCAGAAACCTTTATTATTTGCATTATCTACCAGGACAGACAAAATTCTGCCATAGGGAGTTACCTTTTGCTTCAATGATATTTCAGGACAAGAAAGGATAATTTGGCAAGAATAGCCATTGTATCACCATTTATTATATCTCTTCTTGCATGTATCCTGGTTAGAATTTGCTGAGTAGTAGTAGAACGCACAGCCTTAATATATAGCATACAAACCTTGGGATTTCTGTCCACAGTGATCTCTGTGTGGTAGAGCATGACTAATTGCCCTAAATGGGTTAAATTCACATAGATTTCCAGACAAGGATAGTGAAAAATATTTTTATCCTCAGAGCCTTCAATGAATGAACAATGGACCTTTTCCTTGATGTTAGCTGTCACTACATTGCATTCACCTTCATCAGCCCAGACACTGCAGAGACAAATTTATTAAGAATTTATGCATAACTTAAGCCTGGTAGTACATAAATATCTGTTTTTGATATTGTCAGCACAACTTGTGTGAAAAATACGGTGAGACAAAACATTATTAAAATTATATTGTCCATATGAGTAAAGGCAAATAGCAATCACAGTAGTACTTAGACTTATATACTGCTTCACAGTGCTTTATAGACATCTCTAAGTGGTGTACACAAAAGTCAGCATATTGCCCCCAACAATCTCATTTCACCCACCTCAGAAGGATGGAAGGCTGAGTCAACTTTGAACTGGTCAGAATTGAACTGCTGGTAGTGGGCAGAGTTTGCTTGTAATACTGCATTCTAACCACTGCACCATCACAGTTCTTATGTACACTTTTAGCAAATGCTCTGGCATACACACACACACACACACACACACGCACACACACACACTGATTTTGAGTATGCTTTTCTTATCATCTGATAGGCCAATAAAATACAAACTCTTTAGGGTAACACAATCATATTTTTTTAAATCCCACATTTATAAACATACTTAATTCTGCTTCCTCCAATTTTGTCCACAGCAACCCTGTGAGGTGGGTTGGGCTGAGAGAGTGACCAGCTCAAAATCACCCAGCTGGATTTCCTGCTTAAAGTGGGACTAGAAATCACAGTCTCCTGGCCCTTCTAGCCTGATGGCTCAACCACTACATCAAACTGGCTCTCATGTTTATTTAATTAAGATTATTAAAATTTGAATAGAAAGATATTTCAAAACATATATGATAGAGAGGTTGATGAGTAAGTGATTAGAATTAGTTCAGGATTCCTTTCCACATTCAGATCAGTTTGGAATAATGCAGAAAAGAATGTTAGTTCCTAATGGATTTGATGGCTCAAGTGGAGATAGGAATGGTCTCTATAGAAAAAAAATCCTACCTGGGATCCCACGGTGCCTCAGAATAGAATCCATAGTAGTTTAGGGATCTCTGACTCTTATGGAGGATTGACTTTTCTCTCTCTTACACCCACACACATGGATCCATACTTTTTCCCCTTCAACAACATTCCTCCCCCCCCCCTAGTTCAGATGTCTTTCTTTCATTCCATCTTTCTATTATTTTCTCCCTTTTCTGCTCTTTTTTTTCCTGAAATGGAGGGAAATACATGTGGAGGTGAATTTCTATGTTTGATATGTGCAGATAGGGATGAATCCGTTTTGTTAAATGGAGTATTTTATTTTACATGCAGTTAGTTTGATTAGTAGTTGTTAATTTAATTAGTATTAATTTACTTTTTTGTCCTTACCCTCCGTGCGTGTGGGTGTATGCATTTATACCGAGACATATACTCATCTACACATACAGTTTATACTGGGTATATAAATCTCACACAGAGATTTAATGAGTCAGCTTTATGTTGTCATGCTTGGACTTTCCTCAACCTATTGTCACAAGTCGGCCTTGGGGAAAAAAGAACGAAGGAGAAATCCTGGCCCAGTTATACTATTGCCATACAAGTACGGTATTAAGTTAACTATGAAAGAAAGATGATAATTCCTGTGTTCCAGAAGCAAAAACTTCTTCCATTTAACCAACATAGCTTCCAGTTTAACAATTTATGTTTCAGCTTTAATATATTAATGAAGATTATTTATTAAATGCTTTCTGAGTACAATAGAATTTCCATTTTGAGAGGCATCACATGTTCAGAGCTACGTGACACCAGATTCATTTGTATAATCCAGCTAGCCATTCACTGGAGATGAACATACTCTCTATTGGTATCTCTCCCTTCCCCAGCATTTTAAAGGGACAAATGATGCATTAAAAATCAATTAGTTTAGTTTCTCCACCTCTGCAAAACTCTGAGAGGAAATAAATCATGGAAATAAGGCATACGTTTTGTACCTAGTCATCCCACAGCATAGAAGAAAGACATTTTCCAGTCTTTCCACTAATGTCTTCTGCTAAAGTTGCCAAAGCTTCCAAACAGACTCACTTGCTGCTTGGAGACCCACTTTTTTTTTCTTTTTTGCATGGTTTAAGAAATAACGTTTCTTTTACCTTCCTCTATGTAAAGGCACCAGGACGATACCAATAAAAAGATACATCATTGCTGAGCAGGCCATCATTCCCAAACCTAGCCATAGGGCCCTGGTCTCCCCTCGTTTCTGTAATGCCACCACCTTTTTCTGTAACATGACTTCTTGGGATGCTTCTGTGGTTCTTATCTCTGCATAAAAATATAATCAAATCTATCAGGTTTGTTTGTATGACAGCTCCACTAACAGTAAACTCATCCTTATCCCAGAGATTGCATATAACTCGGTTTAATATCATTAAGTACTTGCTTGCCAAAAATAAAAACTTGAGAACAAGCCCAATTTTGCGAGCTATACAATAGTATTTACTCACTTTTTCAAGGGTAACATCAAAAAATCACACTTCAGGTGCTCAGACCATCGAGTATCTTTTTTTCTCAATAGGAACAGTTCAGTGTTTCATTTGTAAATGCTGGTGGATTTTTGTAGCCAAAATTCTAAAGGGCATTTCATTTCCTGAAATTAGCGGTTCTCATCCCATGCACAGACTAACACAGCCAGTTTTAGCCCATTTTTGGCCTGCAGAGATGTAAGAGAGAAAGAAAGAGAGAGATATAGACACACACACACACACACACACACACACACACACACACACACACACAGAGAGAGAGAGAGAGAGAGAGAGAGAGAGAGAGACTTGTTGATTTTAAGCTCCTTGGGGCTCAGAAGAATTGCTGCAAAACTGAGTTTCTTGAAGTTGATCACTAGACTCCTAAACAACTGAAAAAACAATCTAGTAAAAAGAAAAGTCAACCAAAAGAGCAACATGCAAACAAAAGCAAACAAAACACCCCCAGGAGCGAAACAAATTAAAGTTTAATTTGTGTGCATTGTTTAATAGACTGTTAAATTGGCCACACCCACCTAGTCACATGGCCTAGCCACACCCACCAAGTCACATGACCATCTAGCCAGACCCACCCATGAATTGGCCCCCTGTTTAAAAAGTTTGAGGAATCCTGTGTTATGCATTTCCTTCTTTTGCTAGGTAATACATAACTACCCTCCCTATCCTCTTTTGGTACAAAACAGCTTTAGAAGTGTTTTTGTCAGAGGTGTGGCAGGCAGAATAAAGTTCTCCTTTCCCTGTAGTCCGATTTTCAGGAATTTGTTTATAAGTTTGGAAGGAAGACAGATTTATTTGAGAAGGGCATATCAGTGATGCTGGGGTTGGTGACAGTGGAGAGGTTGTGATTCATTTTACTTCACCCTCAGGCTCTCCTTTCAATTGAATTGCAGTCTTGTGCAATCCCCCAAAGTCATCCAAATAGTGAAACTATTTATAACAATCCTTGGAGAGTGTATTTGTAAAGTCTATTGCAGCTCGGATGCCATGTAACTATGCCATTTGGGCATGCTGTGAAAAAGGGAACTAGACATAATATACTTCTTAATGGACACCCTTGAATAACTTCCAGTGTAAGATGCTATGACCCTAAAACAGCTTCTTTTCTAAGAACAGTGCTATGCTGAACATTTCTTCCATATTATTTCCCCATCAATTCTCTCACAGGGTGCTGGATAATAAACTGCTTTCAAATTTTAATACAGTTCTCATGTGTTAAGTCCAGGAGTCTAAAGCTTTAGATTCCTGAGCTAAATTGATAGGAAGAAGATGAGCATGGCTTTAAAACTGGAAGGGAGGATTCGATAACCTGTGCCAAATTGATGATGCTGTCTGATAGCTGAAAGTGCAAATAATCTACAAGGTCTAGTAATGAAAGTTAAGGAGCACAGACAAAAAAAAATGGGACTAAAATTAAACATAAAGAAGACCAAACTAATGATCACAGAAATAACAACCAGCTTTAGAAATGACAGTGAAGATACTGTCATACTGAAGGGGTGAATAGCTTCTGCCTAGAATCATCAACACTAAATAAATTGGTTGTCGAGAATCACACCATGGACTAGCACAGAGTAGCATTCAAGCAGCCAGCAAGGCCTTGAAAAAGATACTCATTTGTGGTTGATGTGCATATATCTATGAAGATCAGAATAGTGCAAGCAATGGTTTTTCCTAAGACTCCATGGAAGTAGAAGTTGGACTTTGAAGAAGCAGGATAGAAATTGCGTTGAAGTTTTTGCCCGTTGGTATTGGAGAAGACTCCTGAGAATACCATGGAGGGATAAGAAAATAGATAAGTAGGGAATTGAATACATCAAGTCAGAGTTTTCACTCAAGGCACAAACATCAGGTGCAAATGACCTACCTCAGATAATATGAAAACCTTGCTTTCTAGAGAAGGTTCTAATGCTTGGGGAGGTGAAAGGACTCAGTTACAGTGACGGTGAGTGCACCATTGGAACGTCTGTAGGACTGGGTTGAGAAAAGATCCTAGTAGAGAAAATCCATATGGTTGTTAACAGTTGACATTGACTTTGATGGCACATAATCAATCTTGGTTGCAGGATTCCTAGTACATCAGTTTATCCCAGTCTTGGATTTGGTTTTTATCATGCTTTTTTTCTTCTTCTAGAGTCTGATTTGATCTTTCTTTTAAAAAAGAAAAGTTCTCCTTAATTTATTTATTGCCCTTTTAAAATGTTTTCAGAAAAGTTCATGAGAAATTTGAATTTATTTATTGAATCCATTATTTATTGAATCCATTATTGAATCCATTTCAGGGATTAAAGGAATTTGGATAGTAGGGAAGAGAGGATAACACTCCTCCACCTTACTTAAGTACTGCCATCATGAATTTCAGAACCCATAATTCTTGAACTCTTGATCTTCCAGCCAATTGAATCTCAATTTGAATCTCAATACTTTTACACCAAGGACAAGAACATATTGTAAATCGCTTTCCACAACAATTTTACTGTAATAATTAAATATAAATTATAGATTTAAAAAAAAAACCACTAAGAAACCTGATTTTTAAACAATAGATTTACTTGTTTTCTACTGCTTCTTTATATGCTGTTATGTGCTGCATAATTTATGCAATGGTGCTCATTTTCTATTGAAAAGCTATATCAGAGCCCAGTTCTTTGTGGAAACCATCATTCTTTCCTTAATCTCTGAAATATCAATCTCTCTATGTACTTATTTTATAAAGTGAACAATATTTCTACAAATATCAGTTCTCTACGTGCCAAACTGTATATAGGGGGAGAGTAAAGGCAAGAAAGAATCTACACTGGAAATTGGGAAAGTTTCAAAATTGCACATTTAGAAAAACACCGAAGAGAGATTTAGAGATAAAGATAAAGAAAAGTTAGTGAGACGAATCAGATTAAATTGAGATCACTGTTGAACAGGAATGATCTCTATTATATAACATTTGGTTCCAGGTCACATTTTTCTTTATCTGTACATTGTAAAGTTCAATGATAAAGACACTGTTGATAACAGAACCACAGGTATGACTTTTGACATGAAACAATGAAGTAATATTTCAATTTAATGCTGCCATTACAAGTTTAATAACCCTAATGTACTAAAAGAGTTGAAATCCAAATTAGATGGTAAACAATGTACTTTAAAGAAATCCATTTAACATCTGATTGCCTAAAATTAGAACATTACACCCCTCACCCTCAAAACTGTTACTTGTTTGCTATAAATATCTACCTTTCACAATTGGCTCGCTAGACATTTCTGTATTTTATATTACTATAGACTTTCTCAATATTAATTTGCATTCTAAAATAATGTTATTAAAGAAAATGAAAGTATTTCAAAACACTGAATCCCTTCAAGAAATCAGGAATGGACATTTCGAAAAACATCCAGTTCAAATCCTTTTCGTTAAAACATTAAATGATTTTAATTATCACTAAATAAAACTACGGTGCTGCCACTGTGTGCCCATAAACTAAAACTCGTCATCTTAACATCATAAACACAAAACTATTCTGGTTTTTTTTTTTTTTTAGAAAATATATTGATAAAAAACACCTTGTGTTTTTTGTTTCTGTTCTTACTTAAAATAAGGTTTAAATGTTTCTGCAATCTGGTAAAACTCTAATAGGAATCTAATAGTTCAAATGTTCATGTTATTCAGAAGCGTTGTATACACAGGATTGCTGAAAAGAAACTTTTCGGAAGTCATGCTTACCGCCTTTGAAATGTGGCTGAGAAGTTCATGAATTTTGGGGAAAAAAAATGATCTGCAAAGATCAGCTCCGTGCTGGGCCCCCAAGTAGCAAATCTGTCAGCTGTAAAACGATTACCTTCCTCCAAAGTTGCTGCTGCTGATTTTTGAAAATGGATGTTTAGCTAACTTTCCTAGTATGAGATTTCTGCTACCATAAATGGTAAGGTATGGAAACATGCAGAGTTTTACAAGATTAATAGTGCAATGCAGGGACTGATGTGTTATGAACAATTGTAAGCTAGAATCCTCTATTCCTTTGTGCTGGAAATGGAAAGATTCCTGCTTTGTATGTTATAATGCAACTAAATATAATCTCCATGCACTGGCATACTTTTTAAAGTAACTGAGAATCCGTGGCATTTTCTAAATAGTAACTTTAAAGAGATTCTACTGTCCAGCCATTACTTTTCTTCTTCTCATTTTTATATTAAGATAAGGTTTGTGTTCAATTATTCATATAAATCTGAATGCAGTATACATTTGGATTTATATGAACAATTGAACACAAAGTGTTGATTTTCTTGGACTTCAAAACATGATAAGCCATGATGTTACCTTGGTGATTATTATTTTTCCTCATGGCAACAAATGAAGAAAACAGAGAAATAATAATAATAAAAAAAATAGAAAGGTTTTGATAAGGATGGGCCAAAGATTCCCCAAAGATTATGTTTACTTGATTGTTACATCTTGACTGCCACCTTTTTCATCCAGTTACGTGGAAGTTAAAAGTTATTACTGAATCTGTTTGATAATTGTATGTAGAAATTTAAAGGACTTTTAAATAATGAACCATATGCTTGCAGATATGGATGCCAAAAGATTTAGAATTCTGAAAAAAAGATGTAAATGAAGGGTCATGTTTTAATGCCATTGTTTACTAAAAGATGGCAGAAATTTTGAGAAGACGATGTTTAAGCAGTGAAAAATTCCAGCAAAATATTGCAAGCAATATTTTTTTTAACATCTTATTTAAAGTAGCTGTGTTTCCTTTTGGGATTGTACAGTGCTACTGCACAAGTTCTGCATTAGTCTGGGGCATTCAGCTGGGTTCCTTTTTTTATCCACTAATTAATATTGTCTGGTAATAATACAGAGGTGGGTTTCAGCCGGTTCTGAACAGTTCTGGAGAACTGGTAGCAGAAATTTTGAGTAGTTTGGAGAACTGGTAAATACCACCTCTGACTGATCCCGCCCCCATCTATTCTCTGCCTACCGAGTCCCAGCTGATCGGGAGGAAATGGGGATTTTGCAGTAACCTTTCCCTGGAGTGGGGAGGGAATTGAGGTTTTACAATATCCTTCCCCTGCCACGCCCACCATGCCGCCAAGCCATGCCATGCCCACCAAGCCACACTACAGAACCGGTAGTAAAATTTTTTGAAACCCACCACTGTAATAATACATTACATTTAAGAAATAAAATATTGGAAATCATACATTTATCTTGGAGCTTAACTCAAATTAGTTAAACAACAACCTTAGCAGAAAAGCTGGGCCTGGTCTTACAGCATTCAGTTCCAGTTCACCTCAGTGCACCAGGAGTAGTCTTTTTGTTCATCAAATGAAACTCTTTGAATAAGAGAACAATGTTTTCCAGAGATATAAGCCATCGTGTTACCATTTTAGCATCATAACAAAGGTGCTAAAAAATCAAGCTGGAGTGAAATAAACAGAGTACTCATGATTCAAATGAAGAGAGGTTTTCTCATTTCCCTTTCTTCTAGACTGCTGATTGCTAGGCTAGCACTTTGGACTGAATACTGCTTCCTACTTATGGTACTTTTTTTTTTATTGAAAAAGTTTTCAAATACAAAATTCCCCCCCCCACATTTTTCTCCCCCCCTCCTCCCTAACCCCCCCTCACCACCCATCCCCCCCATGACTTCCTCACAACAAAAACCTAATTCATAACAGATTATATAATATTTTACCATCCCCTTACTCCCTCCTCTAAATACTGACCCTTATTTACTAATAATATTATTAATATTATTACTTCCCCCTTTAACCATACATTTCAAAATATCATTTTACTATAGTATTGCATAATAACTTCTAATTTAACATAATAATATTATTATAACTCCCGATTTAACAATAATCTGCCCTATTTCTCCTCCCCATACTTATATCTGTATATTAATACAACATTTCATAACAACCTTCCATTTTAAAACTATATAATAAATCCTGCTTTAACATTTAATCTTTTGTATATATTAATATAACATTTCAAAGCAGCCTTCCCCATAAATCCTAATTTAGCATTTATTCAGCTCCATCCATTTGCTCCAGTCCCATAAGTATATCACTTAAGCATCCCTTTTCTTAAACTAAACAATCTGTAAACTAACCTATCTCCACCCACGTTCCTACAAAATTGCCATACACAACAGTTCTTAATATCTTTAATCTACTACCCACCCTACTAAAAAAAAGTATTCCATTATATAGAAAAAATCAATAACTTTAAGTTTATAATCCATATAATATCTTCTTTAGTGTCTTTCCACTAGATTGTTGAGTACATCATCCATATTAGGGTAACATAGCATCCTAGTTGCAACAGATTGTTCCAAATCCTCAGTTGTCTTCTGCCCCCATCAATAATAAATCTCCTCCTATATATATAAAAAAGAAAAACAACTACCCGAGTGACATTATAATTATATTCCATACAGTATCTGTAATTGTGGTTTTCTTCAGGATTATTCATTCCCATCATCATAATGGGTAACAACCAGATCTTCTGCATGCCCCAGCGTAATTCTCTTGCCTTATAGCTCGACATAAATATAATACATTTATCAATAAAAAGAACTCCAAGATAGATAATTGCAATCCAACCAGTTTAAGGCTCTTTTCACATTCCAAAATTACGGCATTGCAGAGGTCTGTCACTCTCCTCAGGATATTGTTAACCAATACTTCGCCTCAACTGTCTTTTCATATATTCGTTCATTTTTTTTTTTTAAAAAAAAAACTGGCTTCACTGTTGCTTAATTTAGAAATTTTTATTTTTGTGAGACCTATTTCTTTTTTTCTTTTCCTTTTGTGGGTTTGTTCTCCATCCTAATTTCCTTTCTGCAAGTTGTATATCGACTAAGCGATTTTCATTCTGGTTTATGACTTGATCTTGTTGGTTTTGCTGTAACTCATATTTCTTTTCTGACAATTATATATCAGCTAATTGATTTCCATGCTTGTCTGTGACTTGATGAATCATAATCACGTTAGAATCCGATGCCACTTCTCTTTTATTTGTAAATAATCCAGCTGGGGTGTCTAAAGAATCCGAAGGCAATTTGTCTACAGAAGCCTCTATAATTCGATGTTTTCCCTTTATTTCCAATTCCTTCTGCTTATCCTGTATTGTGCATAAAGATGTTGAATTCATTTTCAAAATTTTTTGATAAAATTCTTCCGCTTTTTCAACAGTATTTAATTGATATCTTTCTCCTTGATATCTCAATATAATACCCACTGGAGCATCCCACCTGAATAGAATATTTCTTTTTTTAAGTTCAGTTACCAGAAAACCAAATTTCTTTCTTTCCGATAACATCTTGGGCGGGAGCTCTTTGTATATCCAAATCTTTCTTCCAAACCATTGCAAAGTAGAATTGTAAGAATTTTGCACAATATTATTTCTTATCTCCTTATCTATAAAATAAATCACCACATCTCTAGGCAGTTGCCTTTGCTTTGCAGTCCAGGAATTTATTCTATAAACTCTATCAATCCTACAAAATACTTCCTCAGGTTGAACCTTTAAAATCCCAGCCAGAATTTCAGAAGATATTTTCCTTAAATCATCTCTGTTGTTTTCCTGCAGTCCTCTCAGTCTAATCGCATATTCAGTAAAATTATATTGCATCATTAAAACTTCTCTTTCAATCCGTTGTTGTATGTTTTCTGTATTAAAAGTCTTTTGATCAGCCTCCATTTTAGGTTTTTCTTCTGGGCTATTATCTTGAGTATTTGACAAGTCATTTTCAATTTTTTGTATTCTATTGTCCAAATTATCCTCAGTTTCTTCCATTTTGGACTCTAATAACTTAGTATTTGCATCCAACTGGATCATAAATTCTGAAAAACCATTAGCCATTTTTATAATCTTTCATTCCAAAAAATCAAACTTTGATTGCACCAATTCTTTAATTTCCTGCTTAAATTTTTCAAGGTGCTGATTCACAATCTCATCCCTTCTTACAATCTCCTCTAAGAGAAATTCTATTATGTTAAAATCAGGTTTCTGAGACTGGAGACTTAGAACTTGTTCATGTAATTTGTTAATGGAGGAATCCCCCCCCCACTGCTTGTTTGTCTGACTTTATAAATCTCAATGCCATGTTTCCGCCCAGACAAACTTTTTTAGAAAAGAGAAGAAAAGCAGGGAAAAAAAAAACTTCTTTCCAATCAAGATCAATATCAAATCTCCAGGAGAAAAAAGACACAAAAGTGAAGTTTTACCTTCAATTGTAGCCAAAAGTATTTATTCCGCTACTTTGTAGTAATAGAAAACGGAAGGACTTTCCCTTTCAGCCCCTTCTCAAGCCGCGGCAGTCGCCATTTTAAAAAATCTTTTTTTCCTTCTTACTTTCTTGAATAACTTTTATAAAATAAATAAAATACTTGCGATTCAGGATCACAGGTCCAGCTCACGTCCTCTTTGATTAATCTGTTAAATTTGTGGGCTTGTTCTTGTCGCCTAGCTCTGCATAAGCAGAGGTCTCCCAAAGCCCGGAGCGGCGGCTAGGGATATGGGGAGTCTCATCTGCTCCATCCCAAAAGTAAAAAAAAAATTTTGGGGGCTACGCAAAGAGCTCTACCCACCTTAGCCTGCTCTATCTCCATTTCCTCGTGGAAACGGAGTTTTTTCGAGCCGCCATTCCGTTGTGAAGGTGGCTCTTTACAGGCAGTGGGGCTGGCGATCCCGAGAGATCGGCTGGCGGCGACAAGCAGCAAACCAGAAGCCCCTACTTATGGTACTTTTATCCATGGTACTTTTCAGATAAAACTAACAATTCTCAGTACTCCTGAAGATTACTCTATATTAGTTAAACTTTGACGCAAATGGAAAAGAGGGAAGATAAGCAAGATACT